AACACAAGAATTAGAATCACACAAGCATCTATCTTTGTCATGAGGAGGCACATTATTTGAAAATCTACAGGACAATGTGCTTGAAGCCATTGTTAAAGCACTGTAACAGTGATGGCAGTACAGATTAGATTAATAAAAACTATTATTCATGTACTCAACATTAGATTTAACTCTCATTTTCTGAAGAAATAGTTCAAAAATTCCTCTTAAGCAATATGAGCTGTCCTTCATAACATTGACTCTTCAAGGTAAGTGTTTCTCGTGGTGTGCTAAGAGTCAGATGGCAGACATTACACAGCGAGGCTCTTTTGTCATTGGCTTAAGTTAAAGGTAAATGCATCGCACATGTAGTGATTTGGTGGTGATGGCTATTTATTTTTATTTTGTTTGATTGCTTGGAAGAAAGGCATCATCCTAAATACACAAGACTCAAAACTTCAGGTTGAAACAAGCTCTGAAAAACCTCTGTCCATCTGGGTGGGCCTTTTTGAAATGCATACAATTCTAACAGATTTTGCTGTAAGTCTCCTATCCTGCAGCTTTTGGATTTGTTGTTGGAAATGGAAATATTACTCATTCCTTGCATACTGTGCACACCTGCGTATCATGCTTCCTGCTCAACACATTTCTCATCCCCTGCACCACAAGATTTTAAGTCAAGCAAGCTGAGCTGCTTAGAGAAAGGTGCTGTTCTCCTCTCCTGAAGACTTTAGCAGATCTAAGAACACAGTAGTCAGGGCAAAAGATAATGAGAAAGTCTTCCTTTCTCCTAGCCAGCCTAGTGCTTTTAAACATCTAATACAGATTTTTTAAAAAAGGCATTTTTCAGCTCAATTGGCTAGCTATAATAAATAGCTGAAAACATGGTAAGTGACAAGCACAGAAATATACTGACATATTTGACAGTTAGAAAACATTGACAGCACCACTCTGTAGAAGGACAAAGAGCAAACAAAGCTATCTGCCCAACCACAGTGGTTAAGATCACACCTGCCCCAGAACTGTATTGCTTTGCACTTCACAGGATTGCCTGAATAAAGGAAATCAGAATGACAATATATATAACAAAAGGATCATGCATATCTGTGGCTGCAGAGAGGTGGATTTCAGAGGTATGATGGACTCCCACCTTCTAGTAACAAGTAAAAAAACACCAAGCCTCAAGAAAAACAGCATTTGCAGTTAAGGGCAGATCCCACTGCTGTTGAAGGGAACATCAAGTAACTAATAAAGCTGAAAACAGCCTTAAAATGAAACAATTCCTAACACAGAAGAAGCATCCACTAACCTTTTCGCATGACATAATTGAAAAACTGCATGATAGATATTCTCCCATAAGGATCGTTATGGAGTAACTTAGCAAAGATCTTCGCTGTGAAGAATTGCCTGTAAAACAAACACGAAGCTACTTCTACGCATCTGATTACACTGCACTAACAGATCTAGTTACAGTATTTGACATTTGTGGATGCTGTAAAATAACGTTTCAACACAGAATGTGTTAATATGCTACGTTACACTCATTAGGTGGAATCCTACCAAATAACAACAGCAAACTCAATAAAAAGCAGCTACATTTCTGCTCATGAGACTCTTCAGTGATGTAGAACTTTTGAGAGCTTTTATTCAATTTATCTTTATTACAATGTGTTTGATAGCTTCCAATCTGCTACAACAATATGCACATAAAAGAAGCTGCCAGTACTGACAAATAATTGGCTTCTGCCCAAAGCTCAATCACAAAGCTATGTGCATAAGAGCCATCTCCAAAAGGGGCATAAAGAACTAACATTCACTGTGCACATCTGGAAGGAAATTCTGCATCAGAAGATGTCAGGGAAGGTTGGGCAATATCACTGGAGACATGATTTCCAGTTCATTTACATAATGTGCTGTTTGCTGACCACTAACATCTAAAAATGTTCATGCTGATAAAAAATTTTCTTCAAAGGGATTTACTACCATTCTTTTACGCACCTCTATTACAAGTCACCTCAGAGAGGCAGAGTACACCTTTGCAAGGATGTAAAGTTCACCAGTAACTACATGGATATGATTTTTTCTCACTATTAACCTGTTCCCATCTATTTTAGCAACTGACTGTACCAGTAGCACTTAGGTTTAGTCAAAATGAGCACATACAAGAGAAGAAAGCCTTACTTGCATTTTGGTCCAGCTTTTTCACCAACTTTCAAGAAGTTCTCATAATTAATCATTGCTTCTTCCCCAATCATTGGTGATGTCTGATGTTTGTCCAGCAGAAACCACAGATTCTTGAAAGGTATTTATATTTGGTTAAGAAGAGATCTCTTTAGGGACAGCAGTGTGCTTAAGATATAGTATTAAAGAAACTCAGCCAAAATGTGGGCTTGATGCAGGGTTTTCTCAGTTAATCAGGACACATGGTCAGTTCAGCCAGAAAAGCGAGTGTTACTTCCATTCCCTTAAATGCTGCTAAACACATGCACACTCTCCCTCCATCACTAGCCTTTCTATGGTCACACTCCTTTTGTCTTCGCAGCATAATAAAATCAACCATCTTAGGAGTCTCTCTCAGCGATACCTAAACAGAACTTATTTCATTGTCTGGGCCCACCAGGGAAATCATTGCAACATGCTGGAAAACTGGAAGCCATCAATTTAGTCCTCCCATACATCATAACAAGGAAGCTTCACACTGGTGTTTCCAGTCCAATACTAGGCAGCACTTCAGCTTTACCAAGTACTGTGTGCCCAAATACAAAGCACCTCACCACAAGATTCTGCGGGCAGACAGGAAATCACCAAACTCTGACAGGAAATAATCTAAATCCATTTAGGAGCTATTCTAAGACATACAGAAATTATTTTCCTACCTGCAGCTCTTCATTATCCAACAGCTCTCTACTTTTCCTTTGCAGAAAGACAGCTCTAGATTCTTCTCTTAATTTCTGAAGCAAGACTTCATCTTCAGCCGGCAGCTGGAAACATTGTGGCATTTTAATTTTCATCACAGGACCATTCAAAAACTACACATCCAGCAAGTACTCTTAGGTACTCTTGAGTCACATGCTCTGCTTGAAGTTGTTCACTTGACAGCAAATAGTCAGTCTACCAAACTGGCTTCTCCTACAAGGGATATCATTTGCACACTGTCTCAAACCATTTTGATAATGAAGCACTTAAAGCAGGACATCTTTAACAGGACAGGCAGAGAAGTACCTCATACCTGATAACCCATCAAGTAAGCACTTTCCCATGGTCACTAGGTGTGAGAGCTCACACATAAAAGACATTTACTGTTGTGCTTTACTCAGGAGAAACAGAACATTCTGTGTTGTGGTAGGCTTGACTCTCCAAAGTGTGAAAGTGTACTACACTTGTTTGGCCAACAAATAAGATGAAAGAACACCTAATGTGAAAGTTCTGCCAATATTTATGTGCCAAACTGTACAGCACCACTGGAATTTGGAGAGTTGCACATGTATCCATCAAGTGAAAATTAGGTACTTGAGAACTGTGCTGGCAGAAATGTGAGACCCTAAGGAATATGTGACCATGAGAGGTTTGACAGCAGCTGAGTGGTCAAGTTGCTGAGTGACAGCAATATCAAGATGTCAACATGTGCTCCTATCCCAACCTGATTGATGCTCACAACTAGGTTGCTGGACCTAGTATTTCTGATAGATGATGCAAACAACAGATCCATCTCTAGTCTGCAAGACCAATGCCCCACCATTTTCATGAGGCAGCATCCCATCGTGTCTAAGCAGAAAACAGAAGATACATACGTGTTACACCAGTATGTCAAAATTTAGTTAGAACATGAAGTGCCTCTGAAAGACAACTTCCCATCTTTACCAAGCAGACTGATTAGCAAAACATTTCACTGACTCTGGTAAGATTCTTAGTGCTTTTTTTAAAACTGCTGAAATTCACAATTGTACAAAACAAAAAATTAGACTAAGCAATTCACATCGCTCAGATTTCAATCTGCTTTAGCTTCTGAAGCTGCAGTGCCCCTGTGAGTAAGCATAATATTTTTTGTAACATAGAATAGCCTCCTGCTAAAAGTTTACCTGGATACTTCACTTACCCTGTAATAAAATCGTGGTATGTTTGCATATGACATATTGTCGGTTTTTTTCCCTCCTTTCCACTCCATGTAATATTTTGTGAACAATTCCATTTCTTCATCCTTTAGCTCTTGTTCACTCTTTTTGGCTGATTGATACAGAAAAGAATGTTAACCCTGTATTTCAAACAGAGTTCTAATATAACAAGGGGCTCGAAAAATAGAGCTAATACTGAGGTTTATCTGATTGTACTGTTTAGTAACATAAATACGAGGTGGAAATGAGTGTAGACAACAGTTCACTCACATAAACTATGTAAGAGTACGTCCCATAAGTATTTGGGACGGATAAGCACCTCTGCCAATGACCGCACACGCCCGATTCACTGCAAGGTAAGGAGCAGCTCACGCAGCAGGTCCACGAGGACGCCTGGCAGAGCAGCAGAGCTCCCGCCCCAGCAGCAGCAGCACTGTCTGAGACGCTGCGAGCCGCCCCCAGATCGCCTTTCCGGGGCTGTCGCTGCGGGGCGGGGGCCGGGCAGCGCAGCCCTCACAGCCCTCACCGCCCCTGAGCTCCGAACCACGGCACTCTGGCTCTCCGCACGGCGACTCCGGGACCCGCCCGGCCCCTGCGGCAGCCCGGGCGCGGCGATGCACGGCAGCACCGGGCAGGCCGGCGCTCGCCCCGCCGGTGCCGGCGGGCACCCGGGGCTCCTGCCCCGCCCGCTCCCGATCCCGGGGCACTCACGCGCGCGGCGCGCGGCCAGCCGGGCCCGCAGCCTCCGCTCCCAGTCCATCAGCACGCGCCCGCCGCCACCCCGCGCATGCGCGCTGCCCAACGCGACGCGCCCCTGCCCTTTGAAGCTCCTTGCCCACACCCGACATGGCGGAGCAGCCCCGTCCCTCCCGCCGGGGTGCGTGCGGATCACGTGTCGTCCCGCCCGCTGAGACGCGATTGGCTCCACGCGCGGGCCCGGGCCCGCTACGCGCTTCCGGGCCAATGGGAAGCTGGCCCGCCCTGCGGTGGGGCACGCGCCTGCCACGCATGGCCGCCGCGCGCAGCCTCAGGTGGGCCCCCCGCGGCGGGACGGGGGAGAGAGGGGCGAGCGGGAAAGGCTCCCCGAAAGGCTTCCCGAAAGGCTTCCCGAAAGGCTTCCCGAAAGGCGGCGGGGCCGGGCCGGGCCGCGGGACACCCAGGGAGGGACGTGAGACCTGCGGAGTCTCCCCGTAAGGCGGAGCAGCCTGCGGACCTCCCGCTAGTTACCCGTGTAATCTAACGTGTACCCGGGAATTCAGTGTAATTACCGCCCGCGGTGTTGCGTTGCCTCTTTGGCAGCGGCGTTACCAAGGGTTTGGGATTGGGAAAACAAGTTAAACGGAAGTTTGTCGCCAAGTGAAAAATGTGTGGGAAGCAATGTAGGAGCCCTGCTACTGCCTGAAGGATCAGGATTGGGATTTCTCACCTGAAATCGTCGAGCTACCTTGGGTTTCGTGTTTTTTAGCATGCAGATGTAATATCACAGGTCATGATGTCGTGGTGTTATTTTTATTTTTAGGAAATCTCCTGACTTAACTGGGACGCGGGCAGGAAGAAAAACCCCGTGCTTTTTGTGTAGCTGCGTCAGCATTGCCTTTCTGCGTACAACGTTGACAGTACACATTGCTGCTGTGACCAACAAACAGGAATATGTAAAACATCTTCTCTAGAAAGAAAGATACCCTCGTTTTGGATGATTGTCCTCACAGTCTAAGCGATCGATTTTTGTGGAAAAAGATTTTACCATTGTTTGTGTCTGTAACAGACAAAAAGGACTCATGAAAGAAGCTTATACAGCTTGACAACCCTTGGGCTTCTATTAATAAATATACCCATGCAAACTGTATTTTTCATTTTATAACTTCATCATACTAATAGTGAGACAATTTGGTCTTGTGATGGCACTCTTTTCTCAAACTAGTCAGCAGGGTTTTCAGGCTTTGCTATGGAAATGTCACATGTTCTGGCCTTTTTTAAGATGCCGACAACTGTTTGCTGTCTCCTTGGGCATCCCTAATAGGGAAAAAATTAACTCTTTCAGTTTTATGACATCTTCCAGTACTGCTTTACCAGTGGACCCCAAAGAAACTGATGTCTTACCTACTGAGAAAAAGTCTAAAATTGATTGCAAAGAAGGAGAAGGATGGGATGGGGAGACTAAAGAAATACCTGAAGGGAAATTCCACTTTTCTTCCTCTGTTGGAGCTGCAAAGAAATGGTCAATGAGTCATGTTCTGTCAAGGCATAAGTTTAGCAATGTACAACCTCCAGAAAAGCCTTTGCAGGCTGAAGAATGGAACAAACTAAGAGAAAATTTCCAATCACCTGAAATATTTGAAGAGGTGATGCTGAACAGTATGATCAGGTGCAACAGCCCCATTGATGTGGCCAAGTCCTTGCTGACCCACCTGGCAAAGCGTAACGGGGACATTGCATACAGTGTTCTGGTCAAATACCTGACCCTGTGTGTCCACCAGGGACAGGTTTCAGAAATCCGTGATGTGTATGACATAATGAAAGCCAGGTTTAAGATTTTAGAAAGTGGGGCTTACAGCCTTCTAATCAGGGGGTTGAGCAATTCAAATCAATGGAGAATGGCCTTGACTGTTTTGGAAGAAGTAAAAAAGATTATGATTCCCTCACGGATGTGCTATGAATCTTGTATCAAAGCAGCCAGCCATCACCAAGAAATGGAACTCGCCTTTGAACTGTACAATGAAATGTTGGCTAAAGGTGTGATCCCAACTTTGGATGTCCTGCAGTCATTTTTTGACTTCAGCAGGGGTATGAAAGGTGCTGAGTTACAAAAAGAGCTCTTTGGTATCCTCTTGTATTTGAGAGAGAACCAAATATACCCTCACAAAACATTTATGCGGAGTATAAAGCTATGGTTTGAAAGGTAAATAAAGTTTAAATAGAAAGATGCAGTTCATGAGGAGGAGGGATTCAGATTATCCCACAGATCAACTCTGAGACCCCCTCAACATCTCATTTTTATTTTTGCACCTCCACAAGAGACATGTTGTCATTAAAAGATGCATTTTATTTTTGCTTACAAATTACTGTGAAAGTTTAAAATTTTTACGGATTTCACCTTTTCTTTTACCTGTTAAATATTATTCATTGGTACAAAAATTAGGAAATTGTGTTGGGTCAATGGCAATTCAAAGTAGCTGACTTATTCTCTTTCTGGGGTGCTAGATAAGGAAAATTGACAGGTTTATGAGGGCTTTTCCTGGAATTTATTGGAGTGTAGAAGTAGTAAGCTAGTTGAAATTAGATAGTTTCTCTCTTTAAAGAAAGAGGCAGCAGATTCCACTAGGTAAAATGAAGATTAAATGTGTTGACTTTGTTATCTTCTAGTATTCTATACAATCTTAATAGGAGGGTCCATGTTTTACCACAATATTTAGCTGGTCACACTGTTATCATGAGTAGTGATTGTCAGATTCTGCAGATTACAACTAATTACAGTGCACATGCACTGTGGGGTTCACCTGAGCCCATTCCATATTTGTCATGAGGTTGGATGTGAGCCCATCTGTGATTTTTTAGCTGTCAGTTTTGATTGATGTGAGCTACAGAGCCATTTTACAAGTTAGTCTTCCTGGATGGAATATGTGGTAGTGGGAATGCACTACCATTATTGGAATGACTTATGAATGTGTCAGGCAGTAACTTAAAAGTTGTCAGTGCACACTGATTGTTTGTGTGGTTCTTAAAATTTGGGGACAGCACAAACCGCTTATGTTGATGGTGTTAGTTTTTTGCGTTCTGTTAAATGCTGGTTCTTTATATAATATTTCCAGGTGTTACTAAATTAATACGGATTTTTATGTAATTCCTTTGTAAGGTAGATGATTGTTTGTTTTTTTCTATTTCTAAATGTTGACCAAAATATAATTATTCTGACATGCAATTCAGATATTTTTAAATAAGAGCCTACCTAATGTTTTTATTTATCTTTCCCTCCGTTCTTATTAGTTTACCAGGAGGGAACTGGAGAGGACACCTGACCAACGTTAAAGACAGGTAAATGCAAAATTCTGTTTATAAGTGAGGTGTTGTCTTGATTCGTCTATATTGAATCCCTCCTTCTAAAATACAAAAAAATTGCATTCCCTATATACAAAAGTATTTCAGTCCTTGAGAATATGAGCCTTTGTTGTGATGTATGATTTGGCAAACTCCAGTTTCGAACTCGCACATTAAACAAGACCCAGCATGCACATTTGGAAAAGAGTTATGCTTAGCAGAGCCAAGACATAAAAACACAGTGAAAAATAAGAGGTGCCATTTTACTGTGTGGCTTATTTGTCTCCTGTTTAGGATTTAGAGACTTTCTTTTTGGTTGGCTTTATGGTACTGTTGTTTAACACAGTCTATAGCAGAGCAGCTGTGGTGTGTAGTGTTCTCTTTTTGAAAACTGATACTGTTTGCACAGTGCAGTTAATTTGTACAGATGAAAGATTTCTCCCTATCTCATTTTCAGTGAAGACAAAATGGTTCTTACGTTTTCACAGGTATATTTGGGTGTGTGTTTCTATTACAGTGCAGTTTTCTTAATGTCTGTAAACTGCTATTTTAAATGTTATTCTATTTGAAACCTTGCTTTATGCTTTTGTAGCAAATTGGCAATGATAAATGTATTAATTATGGATGTCTCCAATGGATTATGGGGGTTTTAGGTGGTTTATAAAAATACTCTATGTTGCATTCTGTGAAGTAAAAGCACAATGTAGAACCCACAGTTTTTGAAGTCCTTGAAAGAATGGTGATAGCTCATTCTTTTAACAATTGTTTGCTATAAAATAGATTATTTTTATGTAAGGATGTGTGTGGTACTGTACTCTGTTATAATAATTTATCATATTTTAGACAGCCTTTTCCAGCCTTTAAGAGTTTTAAAATTCTAAAATTGTCTTGACTGAGAACTAAGTCTATTTTCTGTCTTACTGTCTGTAAACAGTTTAAGACTTTGAGAGCTAAACTAACTTAGATCACCTTACATTTTATCATGGGTTAAGCATCTGTGAACAAAATGGTGACAAGTGGTTCCATAGTGATTATTTTGTTAGAACTGTAAGATCACTTTATTTTGAACTAAACAAGTTTGAGGTAGCCTACTTGGATAAGTATTTGAACAAAATTAAAATGGTTTCAAGAAAATAAAAAGAATATAAGAGCTAGTGACTTTCGTAGGTTTTGGTTGCATCACAGAAAAAGTACAATGATTTTCTTATGATTGTACCATGTTGGGGTTCTTTTAAGGAATTGTGCTCATATACAGACTATTGACAAGTTAGAAATGTTTAATGTATTTCTTATTTAAAAGCCTTTTTTCTTTTATTTTCTTGTTTCACTACTATTGCAGTGGACAATGCCCAGTTTGCAAGCATCAGCTGGAGGAAAGTAACCTCACCGAAGAGGAATACAATCATCTCAGTGAGAGAATACTAAAAGATGTGATACATGGAACTGACACTTTTAGAAAGACAAGTCCAAAGGTAGGTCTCTTACCCTGTCAGGTTCATTGGATAGAAGTAATGTGCAGTATAATATATATAAAAGTAATGTTCAGGCACTTTGAGAACACTAGAAATTTTTTTCTTTGCTTTAAATATTGGTAGGTCATTAGATAGACCATGAAGTATCCTATGTGTCTTTTTCAGTTGTGTTTATAATTTGCATCTAAATCTCAACATCTTTGATATTTTATTTGTTCTTACATTTTCAGCCAGCTGTTAATGGATGCTGAAATAATAAGAATGTGGGGGGTTTTCACATTAAACAATTAAAATATTTTGATCTTCCGAAAGCTAAATTTTAAATATGAAATAAAATCTAGTGGATGAAACAAAATAAGACATCTTGAGCTGGCAAAAAAGTAAAGAACTGGTTATAGTTTTGTTCTGTCACCTTTTACAACCCACCAACTTGTCAACTGCTCCTCAGTTTTAAAGATACACTTTCATATTTATAATTACAGTATACACTATCAAGTTTTTCAAAGGTCATGGTAAACATATGAGAGGGCCTGATTTCAGACACTACAGTATATTGCAGTGACTTCAGTAAAGCTTTTGACACTGCCTCCCAAAGCATTCTCCTGGGGAAGCCCATGGCTTGGACAGGTATGTTCTCCCCTGGGTGAAAAACTGTGTGGATGTTCAGGCCCAGAGAGTGGCTGTGAAAGGAGCTGCACCCAGCTGGCAGCCGGGCACCAGTGGCGTTCCCCAGGGCTCAGTGCTGGGACCAGTCCTGTTTAATGCCTTTGATGATGATCTGGACAAGGGGATCAAATACCCCCTCAGCAAGTTCACAGACAGCACCAAGTTGGGTGGGAGTGTTTATGAGCTGGAAGGCAGAAAGGTTCTGCTGATGAATCTGGATAGGCTGGATCAATGGGTCAAGGCCAATTTTGTGAGGTTCAACAAGGCAAAATGTCAGGTCCTGCACTTCTGTCACAATAACCCCAGGCAGTGCTACAGGCTGGGGACAAAGTGGCTGGAAAACTGCCCAGCAGAAAAGGACCCAGGGGTGCTTCTTGACAGCAGCTGGACATGATCCAGTGTGTGTGCCCAGGTGGTCAAGAATGGCAATGGTATCCTGGCTTGTATCAGAAATAGTGTGGCCAGCAGGACCAGGGCAGTGATTGTCCCCCTGTACTCAGCACTGGTGAGGCCACATCTCTAATTCAGCATTCAGTTCTGGGTCCCTCACCATGAGAAGGACATTCAGGTGCTGGAGCATGTCCAGAGAAGGACAATGGAGCTGGTCAAGGATTTGGAGAGTAAGCCATAGGATGAGCAACTGAGGGAGCTGCGATTGTTCAGCCTGGAGAAAATGAGACTCAGGGGAGACCTTACTGGTTTCTACAAGTACCTGAAAGGAGGCTGCAGCCCGGTGGGGGTTGTTTTCTTCTCCCAGGCAACTGTCAACAGGGCAAGAGAACATAGCATCACATCAAGCGGTGCCAGTGGAGGTTGAAGTTGGACATGAGGAAGAATTTCTTGACTGAAAGGGTGATAAAACATGTAATGAGTTGCCCAAGGAGGTGGTAGAGTCACCATCCCTGGAGGTGTTCAAGAAACGACTGGATGGGGCACTGAGTGCTGTGGTCTAGTTGACAGGGTGGTATCAGTCATAGATTGGACTTGATGATTTTGGAGGTTTTTTCCAATCTTAATGATTCTATTTCTGACACATTTTGTGTGGAGATAACACATTTGGTGGTAGCAATACAGAACAAAGCTGAGTCCCACTAGATGGAGCCCACACCACATCTTGGGTGTGGGCTTTATCTTTGAGTATTGATTGGGTGTTTGCTGCAGCTGGCACCTCAGTTCTTCACCAGCTTTGAAAATATGGAAGAGGACACCGGGTTTATTCTTCAGGCTTTCATTTTTGTCAGTTACAGAAACTTGAAACAATCTTGGGGTATTTGTAATACATGCAGCCTATTGTGCAGTCATCTAATTTCCACACAGATCTAATTATCAGTTCAGGACTTTTCATCTAATATACCTGTGAATTGTACAGGAGAATAAAATTCTCCTTCAAAATGTAGCATTCATTTTAAGTATTTAATAGATACTGGAGTTCTATAATAAAATAAACAAAAGGCTGTATTTTATTGGATGCTGTATGGCTTGAAAATTTCAAATGGATCAAGTAGATAGGGCTAGGTTGGCAGTACAGTTGAAGGTGGAGAGATTTAGGAAGGGAGTTCTGTGTAACAGGACCTTCACATACAATCTGAAGAGTATTAGAAATTATGTTCCCCTGTGTGAGAGCCTGATTGATTAAATGCATACAATCTAATGAAACAAAGACACAATACACTATATTAAATGTTGATGTCAGTAGATTCTGTTAGTCTGTGTGATAGCTGAAATTCCATCATTTATCACTCCAGGGCCACCTACTTGTTAGTTTCAAGTTGATCTCATTCCAATTCTGTATCAGCAGCTTTTATATATATATATCATTCTCCTGAATGGAGATGAACTTGGTGTGTTTACTGTTGCTTGTAAGCTTAAAGTCTGCTTCCTCACTGAATTTTGAACATGGATGTGGGGGTAGTGGCAAAACTATAATATATGTCATAATGTATCAGATGTTTCCAGAAATAAATTTGGGACTTTTTAGTGCCTTTGTGCTATGAAAGCAGACATGTGGTGATGAAAATAGGCTGCCCATTTTAGGTATGTCAGATTGTGTGACTTCTTCTGTAGTCAGGGGCTTCCAGAGGGGAACTAGATGATGAGGCTGAAATAAGGATGTGAGCAAATACATCTGAGAAGGTGAAGGGGATTTCATTTTCTAGTCAGTCATTTCTTTTGTAGTGGCTGTAATTCAAAGAGGACACTTTAGCTTTGTATTACTTCTTTTCTCCTAACTAGTTTTCTTTAGTGGATCTATATTTCCTGCAATGAAATGATTATTCAGGGAAACAGTTTGAGTTGCTTTGAGCTCTAAATATTTTTTTCCAACAGTTTCAAATTGAATATATAAATGCATTTGGAATCAGTTTTTTTCTTCACCGAGGAATAGTCTTTTGTCTTACTTTTGCAACAGCATCGCTGCATTATTTTATTTCCATCACTTAAGAATAAATGTATTCAGAGTAGAAAATGAGGAGCAAAGACTTGATTTGTTGAGGATCCCCCAAAAGTAGTTTGTTGTGCAGTGATTAAAAAAAAAAAAAGTATTTTTTGTAATTAGTTTTAAGAATGAAAATCAAACAGCATAGGTTTGTACATCAGAATGGTAGTGAACGCTATTTACAAATATATTGAAAAGATGGCTTGCATGAACTATAAAACTGATTATCTGTGATGAAATGTTACACATTAAAAATAGGCATCAATTCAGATCCTTATGCATAGCTTCTGGAAGGTCTATTAGGATGTCATATGATGATCTAATACAGAGAGCTATAACCTTGCGGGCTGCCATAGAAAGAAAACAGTTATAGTAAGACTGTCACCTTTTGTACCAAATTTCTACATGATATTTTCTGTCAGATGCTTGTTTACCCTGGCTGCATTTAATTGGGAGCTATGCCATTGAGCCTGACATAATTGGTATGCTGAGAGGCAGAATCAACTTTTGCTGTGATGACTTTCACGTTGCAGCTGCTCCTGGGTGTTTACGCAAATGCTGTAATTTCATTCCCTTTGTGGCTCCTACATACCTCTGATAAGCCTGAAAGGGCTGTTGTGCAGTGGGAAGGAAGCTCATGGGAGATGTGTGTATGTGCTGTCAAGAAGGCAGGAAGAGATGGGGTTGCGCTCATGTGAATTTCCACACCAGATCTGAGCTAAGCAGGGATATTCTTCTAGACCATAAGCAGATGACAAAGAGGAAGTAGCCCATTCATCTCAGTGTTCTTTTGCAACTGAATGAGGGGGTGCTATTTCCAAGGAACCTTGAACATAAAATTCTAACTCTTACCTTTTAGATTCATACTTTTTTTTTTTTTTCCTAAAGCTTTGGTTCTCCTTCCAGCTCCATGATTTGCCCCTAAATGACCCAAAGGGGCTTAGGGTATATGTCAGTCCTGTTCTGAATGTGGCACAGTATTGCCTGGGATAAGTGTGCCATTTTCCTCCTCTACCTCCATTCCCATGGATGTTAGCCAAGTCCTGTGCCAGCAGTGCCCGCTGTGGGCAGAGCTGTGCACGGGCAGCACATGCACATCACAGCCAGAGCCTGACAGTGCCTCCCCAGGCTACAGCCACAGGAGTTCCTGACTCAGGGGTTATTTGTGAACTCAGGCCCGTGTAACAGAAGCCAAACATATTGTGTGCAATCCAGGGTACATAGAGATATCATGCACAATACTGAGAAAACCCATCCTGTTTAGAAGGGTTTGAAGGGGATTTCCAGGCTTTGAAACTGTAGGGGAAATATTCAACCTGTTGGGCATAGCAGCAAACAGATTTAAGAGTGCTCCACCAAGGCGCCTTAAAAAAAGAGAACTGGCTGGATTTCAGTTGGACAGCTGGATTTTATTTCTCACACATAATGTTCATTCCTGTATTTTTCCTTCTGATACCAAGAAGCATTGCTGAAAACAAAGCAACCCCCATAACATTGTATTTTATGAAACTGTTAAAAATTGAATGTTTTCACTTCTCTAAAATACGCCCTGTTTGATAATAGGGGTAGTTACATTATAATTAAGTGCAGTATAATATTCTGTTTATCAGAATTTGCTATTTCCTTTCACTTGAGGATGTTGTCATTAAACAACAGAGGAAGCACTGCTTTTTCTGCTGTACAAAGCTTAAAGTATTGTGACTTCTTCTGGAGAAAATATATGTTGAATATTGTAGTTTTAAATTCTTTTAATTTAACTAGTGTCTCTCCACCATTCCTGATGTGAACAAAAACTTTATTGTTCAGAAGAAGTGACAAACAGCCTTTTCTGCAGTGATTTGAATACGTTTTAGTGTGGGGTTTTTTTAAATCTTATTTTTGAGCTCTGTACATTGGCAGG